TGGATTTATCATGGGGCAGCACGGTGGCGCAGTTAGTAGAGCTGCTGCCTCTCAGCAAGCAGGTTAACCTGGTTCAAATCCCGGCCCGGGGCCTTTCTGGGTGGAGTTTGCATGTTCTCTCCATGCATGCGTGGGTTTTCTCCGGGTACTCCGGTTTCCTCCCACAGACCAAAAACATGCATGTTAGACTGATTGGTAACTCTAAATTGTCTCTAGGTGTGAGTGAGAGAGTGAATGGCTGTTTGTCTCATTTGTCTCTATGTGTCCCTGTGATGGACTGGAGACCTGTCCAGGGTGTACCCCACCTCTCACACAGTGATGGCTGGACATGGGCAACAGTGACCCCCGTGACCCAAAAAGGTTGAAGCAGGTAAAGATAATGGATGGACATATGGATGGATGGATATCAGGACATGTATGTATGAGTTCAGACTTGACTTGTTGGTAGTTCCAGCTGTTCCTGTTGCTTCTGCAGGTTTGGTTAAGTACATTCCACATACCAGAAGATTACAGCTGTGTAACAGGAATGCCATGCTCAGCGCAGTCTGCAATATCTCAGATAACTCATGCCTTCCTGGGGAAAATACAGAGTGGAATTCATCAACTACTCAAGATTTTCTGTTTTTGTTTTTGTTTTTTTACATAAAAGTTCAAAGTTCAAAAGGGAATTTGTACTTTTCAGCTTTGGCCAACATGAAGGACATTTTGAAATGCTTAACATAATTCCTGAGCTCATATGTTTCTTCATACATCCAATCTGATTATTTAAAGTGTTCTTTTAAAAACGAGTCATACAAATGCTGCACAGGGCCCAGGCACCTCTACACCATTTATTTATCTTGAAGTCAACCCAAGAGCACAACATGCACCAAAGTACAGTCAGGGATCTACTGATCACATGGAAAACTGATGTCAAATATGGAGTTCTGGTCTTAAGATGTGGCTGTAATCAAGTTATCTCACTGGTTTATTTATAGATGCACTGAGCCACAAGGCCAACAAATCACACACTTCATTACCTTCAAACCACAGAGTACTAACAATCACTCACGTTATACAAAAGAAGTGCACTGGCCGCTAGTCCAAGCACTTAGTTTTAGAGCTTGCTGAGCAGACCGGCTGTCCAGGCTTGGGACTTCTGCTCCACATCTTCCTCACATCTGGATCAAATAAGCAGCCTGATTTTTGTGTTCTGCATTTAATGAAAGTCAGTCCCAGAGTAACTTCTCTTCTTATTGGCAGCTTTGTCATTTATGTCTCACTATCTTTGTGGTTTTATTCTTTGCTTGGCCTTTGTGTTCGTGTGTCTCTGCTTTATAAGAGTTTAGCTGTAATGAACTCACTTATTATGTCCAGAATTTGTAACATTGAAACCTTGTCAGCTCAGGACCCACTTGCTAAGAGTATTATTCAAACTAAAGTTTTAGAGTGAGTTCTGGGGAAAGGAGGCGAAAGACAAAGATCAATACAGTCACGTAGACAGCAGACTGAAGATAAGTTGAAATATGTTTTCATTGACCCTTTATTTATCCAGGTAGTCTCATTGAGTCCCAAGAACTCATTTTCAAGAGAGACCTGTTTGGGAGCAGATGGTGGGGGCCTTGCTCAAGGGCCCAGAGTGGGGCAAATGAGGGTGGAGGCAGGTGTGGGTGTTTCACCTTTTCCACTCACATTTTGATGTTGACAGTGCAAGGAGTTGAAACTGCAACTTTCTGATCACAGGCCCATCTTCTCTAACCTCTGCGCCACCACTCCCCATAGACATAAATATATGTCCCCATAAATCCAGTACAGATAGACAGACCCACTGCAGGTCTTCATGCTCATTTTAGATCTTTTGATGAGATCCGTTGTTCCCCGTTGTGGAGCAAAGAGGGAGAATAGGCAGCACCATCCATGCATGTAGTGAGCACGACAACCTGAAAAATGAGTGAGACGCCGGCTTCCATTTCGGTGTGAGGCTGCATCTAGAAGCAAGACAGGTTCCTTTCAATAGTTGGGTCGTCAGATCAAAATCCAAGATGGCTGCTGGCTGCCATGTATGTACATATGTAAACCTTGCAAGCTGGATAACTTGGAAAAAAAAAAAGAAAAGAAGAAGCAACGTGCTGACTTCCATTTTGGTGTATGGCTGCATCTAGGTGAAAAAAAGAGGTCATTATAAAAACTTGATTGTTCAAATCCAAGCTGGCCACCACCCTTATATATATTTAACCCGACTACTCCTGCATGATTAGGGTGGCTGAAAATTGTTCTACGCTGGCCAAGGCCACCACTGGCCACCCCCTGGCTCCGTCATTGGTCCTGGCAGTGGATAAAATGTCTCCCTCCACTCGTCAGGATCCGTCACTGTGCTCTGCCTCGGACAAGAAAAAAATAATGAAAATAAAAAGCGTACCACTCTTCTATATGGTGTAACTCCTACCCACTTGAATATCATGCACCAAAAACATTTAAGTTTACTTGTATTCTCTGTTCAGTTCCAGTCCAGAAAAACACTCATCTCCAAAACTGCAAACATTCACTGTTCAAACCCGAGACCGTCCCGACTGATGGGAACAACCTGAGGGTCCACTGGATGTCTGTCTGAATCACATGTTAAACACCTGAGCTAAAATAGTTTTTTAGAACTTGAATGTTTTTATTTTCCACCTTTCTGCCTGGTGTGTTTAACTGGACTGAGTTCACTGCTGAAAACTGTGTCAACAGCAGAGAGACCAGACCTGAAGTAACTTTTTACTGTCAGGACGAAATGACCCAGAGTCCTGCCAGATCTGCTCAGATCCTTGGACTGCACCAGGAAGGCCTCAGAATTATTATGAAAACTAAAAATCATTTAAAAAAGTTTATGTAACCCTTATCCTACGTGCTATTTTTTTTTGTAAGATCATGTGAAGTGACTGTCAAAGGGAGCAATCTTATCTACCACCAGGTGCAGTGGTGGGGTCAGGGGGTGGACAATGGTGGCCTTGGCCCCCATAGATTAATCTTCAGCCAGCCCAATCATTTGAGGAAACTCAAAAGACGTTTTTTGGGGGACATCTTAGATTTAAAATTGGCAATCCACTAAAGCCACTAAAACAGAAGTCAGAACCTCAGTCACTGATTTGTCAAGTTATCCTGCTCACAACATGCACCGATGGACAGGCAGAGGGTGTTTCCAAACCCTGTTCACCCCGAGACTGAGAACAGAAAAGCCTAAATGGTACCATTAACACACAAGACAACGTGCATCCAACTAAAGGTGTAAATATTAAAAAGACCCAAAGTTTCTACATATTTTATCTGCTGAAAGCAGCCGGAGAGGAAACAGGACGAATGCTGCAGGATTCAAACCCTGCAACAAAAACGACATCAGCTCCTTCCTGAGGACCAACTGGACTCTGTTATATCTTCATCACAGGGAATTATTTAGAGTTGTTTACTCTAAAAAAAAATCTTGTGAATTTAAGACCTCATAACTAGTCCAGTGCACAGACTGGCTCAGATAATTGTATTAATTTACTTACTGTCCATTCTCTAAAGCCAGTGAGGCCAAAACCAGTTCTTACCATCTGTTTAACAGTCACCAAATATTGAAATATAGTCAGAATGTTCGACTTTCACACAGAGCACTTTATAAATATATAATTATAAATAAAAACAACAAAACATGAGAAAACAAGCAAAGAAAAATAAAGAAAATCATTTAGTGAGTAAAATGTTACTGAAAAGTTCAGTGAGTATAAAGTAAAAATGTAAAAATAACCTGTGACCTTAAACAGGCTGTGAAGTACGGAGGGGGGAATGGGACAAAATTAAATAAATATCATGGGATAAATAAATGGAAATGTCCTATTAAATAAATAAATGTACCATGAAATAAATAAATGTATCATTTAATTTTCCAATACATCATTAAACCTTAAATATACAATTTAATTAATTAAATGTCCCATTAAATAAATAAATGTTCCTTTTAAATTATGAGATTAAATAACCTAATTTATACAAAGCTCTCAACAACCTAGCTCCATCTTATATTACAGATCTTATTGTTCCATATTTTCCTAACAGAGCACTTCGCTCTCAGACTGCAGGTTTACTCATGGTTCCTAGAGTTTCCAAAAGCAGAATGGGAGGAAGATGTTTCAGTTATCAGGCTCCTCTCTTGTGGAATCAACTTCCAGTTTCTGTCCGTGAGGCTGACACATTGTCCAGTTTTAAGACTGGACTTAAGACTTTCCTTTTTGATAAATCCTATAGTTAGGGTTGTCTTGTTATGCTGCCATAGGCTTAGACTACTAGAGGACAAATTTACCTAATTTCCTTAAATGAATTGTTAAAATTGAATAGTTTTCATTTGATATTATTTCTATCTTAACATGTGATACCTGACCTGCCATTGTGTATCTGTTCTTACCAAACCCAGCAGATGGTCACTTGTCCTGTGTCTGGTTCTTCTAAAGGTTTCTTCCTCCTGAGGGAGTTTTCCTTTCCACTGCCGCCTTCATGCTATCTCAAGATGAGAGTTCTGTGATGGAGTTAAAATCAAAGTAGTTTGCTCCTCAGATAAATAATGTTCAATTATTATTTTATGAATGTTTCTGTTTGTTTTTCTCCTTTACCCTTTTTTTATATTATCGAGTCACGAGAACTCATTTTCAAGAGAGACCTGTTTTTTAAGAGCAAATGGTGGGGCTTCAGTGCCCTGAGATAACTTCTGTTGGGACTTGGCGATATATAAATAAACTGAATTGAAATAATTAAAATGTAATGTTCAAGACCTTTTTTAATTTAAAATTGCATTTAATTATTTCACTGTAACCGCTGCTGTTTGAAATGTGCTTTATAAATAAAGTTGGCTTGACTTGTTAATTTCATGGTACATCTATTTACTTCATGATTCATTTATTTATTTAAATGGATATTTACATTTGTTCATTTCATGTAGAATTTATTTATTGTTGTCACATTCTGTTTAAGGTTGTTTAAGGTTACTGGTGAGTTGTGGTTTTTACCTCCCAGTGAGGAGCTGGCTCCTGGACGGGCTGCACAGCGGCTGGACATAGTAGTTCTCCAGTTTGACCCCCTGGGCCGCCAGCCGGTCCAGGGTCGGGGTTTTGATCTCGGAGCCGTGGTAGCCCACGTCCCGGAAGCCCTGGTCGTCCACCAGGATGAAGATGATGTGCGGCTGCGAGCCCGGCTTCTCGAACTCGTCCCCTCGGTTTCGCAGCTCGGAAGCCCAGTTCTCCCACGACATTTGAACGCTCCATGAGCGCGAGACGATGAAGCTGAGCAGCAGACTCACGGGAGCCCACAAGAGGAGCATGGTTCAGCCCGATCCGGGTCCCGCTCCGGGTCCGGGGCGGCAGTCACAGGGCGGCAGTGCGCGCGGAGCAGGGGGGCTCATGTTCACCTGGAAGCCAGGTTCGGGTTCGGTCCAGTCCGTGGATGAGCTGGTGGAGGGACATGTCACGTCGTCACACCTCCGCCTGTGAGAGGGACTTCCTGTCAACTGCACGGAACATGCTGTCACTCAGAGGTTCTGCACAGACCCGGTCCACACTCAGAGGTTCTGCA